GATAGGGTACGCCTCGCCTATGTGTAATCCCACTGCAAAACTCGTATGTGTTTCTCGTAACGGAACGTAAAGCGAAAGGGGTCGTTATGTCTAGCATTGCCTATACACGGTTAGACAGTACCATAAGCCATTTCTAAATATAAGTTAGAGTAAGAGGGTTCTTCGGAAACATTAAAAAATTATAATTTTGCACGCGGAGTGTAAACTAGAATCGAAGCTGGCAAGAATAATTAAGAAAGAGGCAGTCATAAGGTCTGTTCGATTCGCCTGAACTGGCTGAACTAGTTCAGCAGTGCAGGAGCTGGTGCATTCGATTCAACCGGAAGTTGCCCGGCCGCTGCACTGGCGCGTTCGATTCATCCCAGTTGTGAACGAGTTCAGACCCAGTTCCTCAAAAATCTTGCACCGGCTTTAGAGTCAGTTCAGCGTCCGTGCAGAAGCAGACGACAAGAGCAGACGGCGATGGCAGACGACACTCCTCGCCCGTCACTGCTCGCGGTGTCATTTTTCGCAGCTCTTGCTCAAATGTCTGCGATGTTTAACAATAACGTCGATACGGAGGCTGCAGTTCCTCCCAATTATGATAATAACGTACCTGCGGTGGACGGGGAATCGAGATCATAAGGAATTTGATTGATTATGTTATTCTGAAAGTGTTTTAGGCACCTGCTCGTGTAGGTTTGGCTCCCTGTGGTAAGTGTTGAAATACTGGATGACGTAAATTGTTTGTTTTTGATGCTATGTGGGGATCCACAGTGTTGATATTCTTCCTTACCGACACGGGAAAGGTATTGCACTCTTGATAGTCCCCGCCTTCAGTTGCTTTTAGATGCGTAATGACGACTCCGATACATTGCAGAAATCTGGGATTTAGTACATTGGCCCTCGCATGCCTTGGACGCCCACTAATGTGCCTGGGAAAAACGGCGCCGAGAATCGGCATTGGCTTGGTAGTTCTATGCAGTTCTTTCTTGAGAATCAGCATAAACGCTTTAGCTTGACGCCAAAGTTACGGTCGATAACTGTATCGGCCAAAACGCTATCGTCAGGCCTTCGTCTTCGAGGTGACCGCTATCGAGCGCGCTGCCGCCAGTGACTCCCGACGCAAAATCATCCCGATGCCGCGAACATATCATAGAAATACGAGACTCGAGAGACTAGCAATGATTCTACTATTGCTAAATGAATGTGAAGGACACGAACGCTTATGGAAATGAGAGGCACCGAACGGCCGTTAAAAATGCAGACAGAAACACATTTCGTGCAGAAAACGTTTTTAGTACACGCGAATAAAAAAATATTCACAGAAAAGGTTCCGTATAAGGAAACACGATTTGTCTCATCAACCCACGAACAAATAAATATAGCATACAACTTGGCGTTTAGAAACAAGAGCCAGCAGATGCAGACGACACTCTGCGCTTCCGCTGGGAAAGCTCAGAAAGCCGATCACAGCGCCAGTCCAAGCGCGGCGGCTGCACTGGTTCTGCGCCGTCGCTGCACGACTCCTGCACTCGTCTGAACTCGGCCAGAACTAGTTCAGAACTTTCTGGTCAAATCGAACAGACCTATAGTTCAAGAGATCTACAAACCAAAGATTCGACCCAGTGTTTGAACTTCTGCATATTACCAAAGTGTTCACGCAGACGAACTGGCATAGGCCTATGACGAGGCTCCGAAAACTGAGAAAGAAGTATAGGAATCAGCACGGGCACCCCTTTGGCCTACCGTCATTCGAATAAATCCGGTTTTATACTTACTTTACTACATAAAAAGAAGCTTTATTTCTTTTTAGTTTTGTTGTTTTATTTTATGAATATAGAAGATAAATATATTCACATAGTAGCCCTGGAGCAAGAGTTGCAATGGTAGTGTTGAACCAGCTAGCCTGCCCTCTCACTTTAGTTTCAAATATATATTACTCATGCATCCACACTCTAAAAAAAAGGGTGTAACCTTACACCCTTTGTCCCATTTAATACACCCCAAAACTTCCGTTCGACGTACAGCGCCCCATAGTCGAGCAGACGACCCCAAATTTTACGTATTCTTACACCGTTTGTCCACATTATATGTGAACAAAGGGTGTAAGAATACACCTCTTTTTCTGAGAGTTCAAAATGAGTCTCTTTGGTACCAGTAAAAGCATAATCTGTTCCTTTGTCCACAGGGTCAGCTACTGTTTATCAGAGGCGATGGACGATGGGATTTGTGAATCGCCCTTTTTGCAAATAACTATACAAAAGTAAGAAAAAAAAGAGAGTAGCGTGTCATATGACATACTGGTAACGCACGTAGACTTCTTTTACTTTCTGTAGGTAGTAATTGGCAAAAACGAAACTCCGGAAATTACCGCGATGCACGCCATAACCAGTTCCAGCTCGTAAAATATAATATAATATATATATATATATATATATATATATATATATATATATATATATAAAGTGCAATATTGGTTTTGGAAACTCGAGAGATACACGTGTTGCGAATCGATTCTAGAGTTGTATTAAAAATTCCAAAACGCACCTCCAAGATTCACATTCTGTTTAATTATTCTTCGCCATACCGATTGCGCTAGGAGCTCTGCGAAATTTCGTGTTATGATTCGTTCGCACCTGATCTCCATATGCAAATTATTCCTACACATCTACCTCACCATTCACTTAAAAAGATACTCCAGTCCACATAAAGTACCGACTAAAATTTATGACAAAAGCTCTCAATGCTTAGAAAAACCATTCTTTCTTTATATTGGGGGAATGAAAACCATGAATGGAAGTACGGAATAAATTATTACAGCTGGCGATAGGTTCTATGTCTACGATGATAATAGTGCTATACATATGTTTTCCCTTTATGGGCTTGAACTAGCTGGCATATATTGTAAACAGCGTCAGTTAACAACGAAAAAAAAGTACAGGCATGATGAAGTATGTGCCTTAACTTTATTATGTATACGTTTTGTTTTTTGGTACACTATGTATGGTTAAAGCTTACATACGGTGGCACCGTCGTTTCATGAAGGCTTGATCATACATTTTCTGAAATACCAGCTGATGTAAACATGTTCACAAGTCTTTGGTGCGCACTACAGTTCTTTGGCGTTGTAATTAAGCATAATGACGGCACAGCTACAGTAAAATGAATTTTAAAAAAAACTATACTTCGCTTTATTTCAAATCGAGACACAACCGATCCTACGAAATGATGGGACCAATCAAACAGCGTCAAAATCGCTACGTCATGATGCTCCTCATGCTTCTTTGCGTTTTCTATCATCGATAAGCCAATCATGCACAGGGAGGACCCAGTGACTCGCGATTTTAAGACGTGCCTTTAGCGTTGTATACGTTTGTGCTTTCGACCGTGCTCGGACATGTGGCTAAACGAAGTATATAGAGCGAATCAACTCTCTGGTACGCCACGCCACCACGGTGGCGCTGCTGTCGGCACTGCGCATGCGCAGATGCTTCGCTTCACGCGAATCTGGTTTTTGCACACGCGCAATGTCCACAGCCGGTGTGGACAAACGCGGGCTTGTTTGTAAACCGTGTGTTGGTCGATAGAACAGAAGTAACGCCGTTAGAAACACCCATTGGGTTCCCCATTGAATCATCTATATACAGGCAAGGGTATGTAACGAACCCTTCAATGCCGACCTAATAGCGCCGCGAATACACGGGAATATCCGTTTGGGACGTCCTTGAGAAGGAGATAACGTTATCGCGTGGCACTTGAGCGTAGGTATTTGCGGAGCATGCATTCGCCGCGCAGCGCGTAGGCTGAGGAGATAGCAGTGGACAGAACTTTGCTACTACACTCCTTTCTGGTTTGGTGTCTTGTCGCAGAGGAAGATCGAAGTTGTCGTCGAGATTTGCTCGGAAAAAACTCCCGATTTCAATAGTAAAAACTAGTAAAAACTAGAGTATTACGCGATCAACTATACTCCGTTTTATCTTATGATGTACCGCGGTAAAGGCTCAAGCGCGAGCTCCTTGCTCTAGTGCACATCTCGGCGGCACAAGCTCTCGTGCATTAAGGGCAGCTGCCAACGCTATGGGCTCGCGCTTCTAGCCTTCGCTGCGGTACAACATAAGCTGAAACGGGGTATAGCAGCATCCAAAAATCACTTAACTGAATGTACTCAGTCGTTACTGAATATGGATTGTAGAGATCATTCGTCTTATACGGCATTATTTTATGGCAACACGCCTTTTTGCCCATTTCTTAATTCCAATGGTAATTATATTACGCAGGTTTTGGAGCTTAAAAAATTGTGCCTTATGGTTTAGGTTTATAGTATTCTGCACGGCTGCTTTAACAGACACGTCGCAATTTGTTTTAAACTTTCGAGTTTCTTGTGAATGGTTCTTGTTAATTACGTACATATTTTTTTTCGGCCCCTGTTGTGAGATATTTTTGTTTGCTTTAAATGCTCCTTAAGTAGAATCATGCACAAGCAAGCTAGCTTACGAAATAACATTAAAACGCTATCTAATCAACGATTCGGTTTTATGCTTTCTTGTGATTTTATGCAAGTTATTTTTGCAGTTGCAATGCTATGTCTAGGTGTTCGAAGTCTGATAACAAGCGACACATCAAAATAACACTTTAAATTATATTCCAACTTTTTTTTTTTATCATTTTCTTTATCACGTTTTTACGGGAAAACATATCTTCTTAATCGCATTACGCTTTTTTTTTTCATCTTTATAATGTTAGCTTACTAAAAGTTGAAGACTTCTCGCTATCATATAGTTCAAGCACTAAATGTTCCATAATCACAAGAACTAGAAAGACGGTAGCAAGTCAAAATTACACACTACAGCTGTGACCCACTTTTGCGCGTCAACAAGTTCCGAAACTCCGCATTTGTGCGCGAAAATATCGAAATCAAGGAAATAATACTCGGGGAATCCGAAACCGAAACAACTGAAGTCGGAAGGTGAGATCCAGAGTGAACCAGAATAACTACACAGACGAACGGTATAACTCACCTTAACCACCATCTTGTCGCTGGCGTAAAACCCACCGGGAACTCCAGGAAGAGCAGCGCCTCACCAAAGCCAGAGGAGAGACTGAGCGAGCGAGCGCAACGCCGGTTTTGGCATAGGCGACCGGTGGAGTACGCGCGATGCGTGAGAGTATGGCAATCCGCCCATGCGTGACGTTCTCATTGGCTGAAAGCCAGCGGGACGCCGCGACGTGCGCCCACTCCGCCATCGATGACGGTGGGGGGTCTCTATCGTAGACTTAGAGTACGGTAACTCTCCACCGACGGGACGTGCTTATTGGCCCGCTGTCGGCGTGACGTCGTAAGAAGCGTCTACTTTCATTGGACGAAAAGTCGTGTTGGTGCGGTTGCGAAATACGTTCGGCATCTTTATTGACGATCTCATTGTTTGTTGTTACAGGGTGAAACTTTCTGGCGCACATCGTTGTGGATATTTAACTTTAAAAATTTGCTTGCGTGAGTTTTTTTTTTTTTTTTTTTTTTTAATTTGGCTTTTACTCTTTGAGCATGCTGCAATCCGAATGAGCCAAGCAGGAGGGTCAAAGACAAATAGAATCTAATCAAGTGGAGATATAAAGGAAAAGGGCTACAACGTAAAAATAAATGGGTGACCAACAACAATAGACTGCGTAGTGTATTACTAATGGATCTGAGTGAAACGAAGAGAAGATTTTATTTATTAATAAAACTAAATATCGATTTTATAATGATATGACACATACACACCCTCAAAAAAAAAAAAAGTTTAATCTTCCACCCCTGTCCTGTCTTGTCCTTATACACTCCAAACACTGCAAAAAAAAGAAAAAAAAAAAAAGTGATTTTTTTTTTTGTTTTTTAATAAGAAATATCGTACCCTTTATCAAGCCCCCCGTAAAAGTTTGGGGCCGCCAGTTCGACGTCAGCGCGTTGTACGTCGAACTGAAGTTTTGGGGGTGTATTATATGGAACAAAAGGGTGCAAGACTACATATACCCTTCTGCTGGAAGAGTGTATATATACACCCCCTCGCATTAAGTCCTACCGCAACCAGCGCTACGATCCGATTAAGAAGCGCCAAAAGTGCATCGTCCCGGCGGTCGTAGCCTTTGCGCGCGCTTTTGATATAGCACTGGCTAGACCAATCACGCACAGAGAAAATGCTCGGGAACATGGCGCATTCGCTGCGAGCGGTTGGCTTTAGCGAGAGATAAGAAACACACGAAGGCGGCGAGTGACGCGACAGTGCAATTTTGACGTTGCCTGATTGGCAGCATCGAATCGAGTAGCGTTGCTATCTACACATTTAGATGGCGGATTCGAATTACATTCATTTCCTTCTTTTCAGTGACACTTCTCATACGCTATAACATCAACAGTTCGTTTCCTTTGAACACTTTTCTTGTTCTGTATGAATAATAAACTGATCAATAGACTAACCAGCGAGATGCATATAGTCATACAAACTCACAACCCCTCTACTGAAAAAAAAAATAGATACACCAATAAATAACCGAACAATTTATCCACAGCCCATACGTATTTAGGCTGAGAATGGATAAAACTTCTGCTCTTTGCCTAAACTGGAATTGCGATGCTTACTACGTCAAGCCAACAGCCTCCGTTGAATCACGTGGTCTCATCACGCCCTTAACGCAACCAGCCGAGCTCGACATGGGCTGCCCCAACGGCAGATGTGCGTGGGATCTACTCCACAAGTTGGCGCGGGTCCCTACATGGAGATCTCTTTCTCTCGCCCGGAAAACGAAGCGAGTGAGCGCGTGACTCACCTGGAGAGGGAGAGAACCCCCAGGCCTTGACCTTACACGTCCCGAGACGCTCGTCTGTTACAATTATCCTTACGGACCGGGCACACCTTTCGAATCTTGTCTGGCGGCGGACCAAAGAGCGGGCGAGCAAGACGCACCCTTGTTCGATTTCGAATTGGAGCGTCACCGATAACCGACTGTAACCCGGGAACGTTTCAGTGCAAATATCGGGTGTTTCCGAAGAAAAGAGAACCGTGTTTTTCTCACCGCGAAAATATACTACTCATCGTCGAGTGCTTAGTCCTCACCCAAACGTGGTGCAAGTGCAGACCAGACGTCAAAGTTTCAAAACTTATTCTCTGTCCAAAAAACAAAACAAGAAAACTCCTGCTTTTGTGTTGTGTCTTGTACGTGAACTGCTGTCATAGCCGATTCGCCGAACACAGACTGCACTGTCACGCTGCGCACTGATCATAACACCAAGCGAAGTCGCGGTGTCCAGTGACGTAATCGGGTCGCGTGACGTCATGCATTTCCTGCCGTGACGTCACAACATCATGTGACGTCGTAGTGTCACGCAACGTCGCGAAAGATTAAGGTTTTCAGCGAAAAAAAAAATGTCCGCTAAATTTAGCGAAGTCATTTACCGGCTACGACTACAGTCCAAGCAAATACGATGTAAATAGCTACAAAGAACACGCCGAGAATTAAACTACGCCAATGGTGACTGTCACCGAAATGTTACAAGCGCGATTTTCGGCAATTTTAAATGAAAAAATGGCGACCAGCAAACTCCGTCGTCAAGACATGAAGATGACTCCATGTCTGCTGCCGAGAACGGCAGCAGACGTGAGTTTTTTCTCGTTGAGAATTTCTTACAATCGATGATAACTTCTGAATCGAATAACGGTGAGTATGAGTTCGCCTTTGATGACCCCAGGTTTGGTCATTACCCGTGGACAAATCATACCTTTAAGGCAGGATCACCAGACCCCATTATGCGACATACCTGACTTTTTATTTGTACATCCATTCATATATACGTTATTGGGCCTGCTTTTCTCAAAATGGTGGGAATTTATATCAGCTGGCGCACCACAAGGCGCTACTTCTATGTTGGATTTGTTTACGTCACTCGATTCTAAGCAGTCAGTATGAGAAGCTCTTCGTGTTCGTTGTTTCCGACAAAACTTAAATCAGAGGTTATGATGATCATAAATTACAGAAACTATATCCGCGCCACGCGCATTCTTGCGCACTCGGTTCTTTTAAGTCAGAGTTGTGATGCGTGGCCTCGCTTAAAAACGCAATTCTTCTTTCAAAACTTCGTCAAAAATCTGGCAACGTAAAATACCGCGTCCTCATGAGGTATCTGCATTGAGGAATAATGCGTATTACAATCATAATCTGAACCCAGCTCCATGCTCTCTGACAGTACAAAATCCTATAAAACGCAACTGGTCTAGAAATGGCAATACTGGATGCTGATAAGTGTATTAAGCATTAATCATGCTGCCGTGTACTGTATATTTGTGCTGCTACAATTTCTGGAATGGATTTTAGTTTTCAACTTGCGAGACATGCGGCCATGTGGAGGAACGCTCTAGAACACATTTCAGTATGTTCACGTCAGCCCCAGCCGACGTGAACATACTGCTGTGCCATATGCTCACGACAGGTGACTTGAGAATGTTCTATAACGTGTAGTGGATGACAAATGTTATACTACATTAAGTAGCCTTTTACCGATCGACAGGTGTTTTGGCGGATGTGATTTCAGAAAGTGCATTTGAGTATTTTTGTTTGAGTACATCTCAGCATGTTTCAAGTAAAACTTCTATAGTTTCAGCACTTTGAGTTCGTACGAAAAATATGCAAAAGGCAGTCACCTTTCAGGAGGTTTGTCGGACACCTTTCTAAGAAAGGCGTAACTTTCAAGCGCGGTCTTAAAACTAAGTATATGGATGAAACTATTGACTGACCCTACTGAAAAAAAATCATATGAATTTAAATAAGAACTGATATGAAAGACCAAAAACTGATATGCGACATATGAGAACTGATATGAAATACCCAAAACTGATATGCGACATATGAGAACTGATACAAAATAGCCAAAAGCGTATATGCGAGATATCAGAAATGATATGCAACATAAGAAAACTTATATGCAGCATACAAGTTCATATCTCTAATGAAAAGATTATATGAATTTATATAAGAACTGATATGAAATATCCAAAAACTGATATGCGACATATGAAACTGATATGAAATATCCAAAAACGGATATGCGATATAAGAACTGATATGAAATGCCCAAAAACTGATATGCGACATATAGACCAACGCGCGGCCGTGACGTCACGCAGCTGCGGTGGCGCTGTCGACGGCACTGCGCATGAGCAGACGATTCACTTCACGTGAATTCGGTTTCTGCGCACGCGCAGTGCCCACACCTGGTGTGGGCAAATGAGGGCTTGTTTGTAAACAGCGTGTCGGTCTATAAGAAATGATATGCAACATATGCCAACTGATATGAATGTGTCCAATAAACATATCAAAAATAAATTCATATAAGTTTTTTTCAGTATATGACGTGCCGTGCGGGAAAACAAACACGTGACTTGGGACCGAAGTGGAGCGGCTTGATATACTGGCTTTCAGATAATTATGGCATGAGCGTTTTCTTTTTATTAAGAAATGCACCCTCCGAGCCGTTCAAAATATTCTCAGAGGTAGGGCATTACTAAAAAGAAATCCCACATGCTGAGAATATTATTTATTGCTTAGGTGGTCACTGAAAAGCTCGGTACTTACAAAACCACCTGTATAAAAGGCGGAAACGCTGAACTCAGAAGTAGTTATTGGGTGTACTGTTGTATTCATGTTTGTTCTGCTGTGTATGCGAATGCGCTCAATGTATAGTTCAGCTGACGCTAGTGGTACGCGTAATGTATCTACATGGTGGCGTTCGTAAATAAAAATATTTTTGTAGCACATGAATTGGGCGGTACCTAGCGCCACCTAGCCTAGTGTAACTGATATGCGGCATATGAAACTGATATGAAATAATAAGTTCTGATATGAAAAAGGTGTCCAATAAACATATCAGAAATAAATTCATATAATCTTTTTCAGTAGGGGAGCCATTGGCTAACCATTGACTGATCGACGGGATAATTTTGCTTCTCACACAAAGGACAGTTGTTTTGTTTTCCTAATTAAAGAAGTCAAGTTCAGTTGCAGTGAATACAGTAATATTGAAGATGTGTTTGGGTCAAACAAAAAAAATGCTATGATGAACTT